GGCTGAGTCCATCATTGAAGGATATATTTTATATTGACACACAATTATTTTAAGTTTGATAATAGGTTTTATCTCCAAACAAAAGGGAATACCATGGGGGCGAGCGTTGCCCCCTCTTATGCCAACTTATGTATGGGCTTATGGGAATGGACACATGTTTTAGAGAACCCCTATTAGAAAGATCATCTGATATTTTACTGTAATTTTATTGATGATATCTTAATCATCTGGAAGGGGGACTGGGATGATATTGACAAGTTTGTGACTGAGCTCAATTCTAACTACTGGGGACTCTCATTTACTTTTAACAAGCAGAGCTCTAGGATAGAATTCCTTGACCATATACTTTGGGGAGAAAAAGACCAGGTTCTTACTAGGACATTTCAGAAAAAGGTAGACGTAAATGGCTTCCTAAATGCTACCAGTGGCCATCATCCTACGTGGATTGCAAATGTACCACTAGGCCAATTCATTAGACTCCAGCATAATTGCTCCATGTTAGAACACTTTGAGGAAGAAGCTCTAAACCTTTGCCAACAATTCCTTGATAAAGAATATCCTTCTATATCAATCCTACTTGCCTACAACAAGGCAAGGAATATGGATAGAATCCCTTGCCCTAATACAGCTTTTAAACCCATAGCCAATTCTGTCACCACTGTACAGTATCCTGACTCTGAGACACACAGAGCTATAATATCGATGCTTACTAACTGGGACCACAATAATACTATACAACCCCACAAATTTTTCATTAGCACCAAAGATGTGACCAGGAACAGGTCCAATATTTTCTACTGTCTTTAATATCTGCAATTATGCCATTATAGGCTGGATGGATCCTTGGTTAAAATTGAGCATTGCCAACAATCCCAGAGTAATTTTTAGAAGAAGTAAAAATCTAAAAAACATCTTGACTCCCTCTATATTTACCTCCTCAGATACCCCTAACCAGACTTGAAATACCATGTTTATTAAATTTTTCAACATTTTTCATACTTTCTTTTGATTTGTATATGTGTTTAAAAGTGTTTGCTTCCTGCTTTAAAACAATAATTGTCAAGTGATACATGTCCTTTTAAACTATGCTGGCTCTATGTTTTGTGAGACACACAAAGATATTGATGTAGCAATAGCATGGTGTCAAAAGTTAAAGGGATACTTTCATTCTAGGAATAAAAATCTGTATTCCTAGCATTATAGCATCTTAACAGCTCATATACTCTGGCCATTTAAACCAGAACAGGATAAAAGAAAGGAAAGGACTTGGAAAGCTTGTGCACTTATTTTTGCCAAATTACTAGCCACTGGTGCAAAATATAAAGAAATAAAGTTAGTAACAGGGGATCAGTTATGAAATGTAGTGTGTTTTAATCCTGTGATAATGGGTTGGAAATTTAATAATGAAAAGTCATTAATGTTTAATTATGCTGTTTCTGTGTGTTCTGCATATCACATAAACATACAGATATAGCAAACATCAAGCCTGTTTTACTATTTTATCCTTTGTATGTTCTCACCTATACCTCACAATCTTGGGTCTGGTATATTCATAGCACTATAGCAAACCTGAAAGCCAGTTTACAATTATCATATCATATTATCCATTTGCATACTACCACAAAGGGAATAATGAGTTCTTCTTCTGTAATAATGTGGTATACAGTTGAGTGTACCATCAATATGATTATACAATAAAGAAGAGAACATTAATTTCCTAATCCTCAGTCCCTTGCATATCCAGACTAAATTTAATTTTCTTGCACAAATCCATAATTTTGACTCAGTTTAGTATTTGTTACCATAATGCCATCTAGTGGCTGTGAAAGAAATACATAATTGTTTGATATAATAAAATGCTGGTGTTAAAGGGTACCAGTCATGACCAATACAACTTAATCTTAAATGATAGGGTGTCAAATTTAACCAGTTCACAGTGCAAGTAGAATTGCTATCAACTGTTTACATTTTTCTGAAATCAGTGGTTAAAAAAACAATCCTTTCTATCTTCTCAGTCAATTCAGTCTGTGCCGATTAGCACAGAGCTAAGAAGGCTGTGCTCTGCATGTCTGTTATAACACAAGTCAAGCCAGATGGTTAGAAAACAGTAACCCTAAATCTGTCATGACAGGTTCACTTCAGTAGATTTTTTTTGTTTTTTTTTACAATTTAGTAGACATGTCCCCATGAAAAAAAATGCATGTGATCATGTATTTCTTCATTTCGGGTTATATCTAAAACTGTTTCCAAAAACTGAAGATCTTTTGTCTGCAGCCTTTGCAAACCCTCCCCTTTTTCCTCAGCCCAGGCTATCTGTGGCTGTCCAATCACAGTCCAATCACAGACTTCCCAAGGCAGAAAAGTATTTTCATGGCAGATGACCTGGGCAATTGCCTGCCTTTTGAGTTTAGCTTCACTAAGCTAAACTACCAGGCAATCACAGGACCAATTTTCCAATTGACAGCCAGGGGGTTGTAATGAAGTTAATTTATAAATGTAAAAAAACAGAGAAAAGTGGAAAAACCACCCAGTACATGTATGGGAATTAAAATTTAAACATAACCTGGAGGAGTGGACCAGGATAATGGGATCAATGCAGAGCTACAATAGTAATAAACATCACATAGCGTAATACAGTAAAGGTTAGAACACAGTGAGTGGTGTTAGTATTAAACTCACAAACATAAGATGAAACAGGCTTCTCACCCCACCAGGGGTTAAAAACGAATTAGAAAGTTGGTGAATCTCAGCAGTGGAAATCCTCATAAATTATTTGGATAAATGGAGGAAAAAGAGCCATACATGGTGAAGTACTGTTAAAACCAAAAAGGGATTTTATTAGATTGCACTTACAAACAGGTAGAGAATCTGGGCATATCTCCACATAGAGTGGAACCAGGCAGCAGCGTGGTAGATCTTGAAATGCCAAAGTTTCAGCAGTTAAAAGTAAAAACAAATATAGAACAAAATTAAAAGTCCATACAGAGTCCAAGATTTGACTCAAATCTTGGACTCTGTATGGACTTTTAATTTTTGTTCCTATATGCACTGTGTAACAGAGCTTACATGCTAGAGGGAGTGGGGTATAGTGACACAAAGTAGGGGTAATAAAATAGGTTGCTAGAAAAGTATTCACTGGGAACTTAGTAGGTTATTTTTGATTGTTGCAGGAGAGGAGTCATGGAGGCGGTGATGGAATGAAAATCCACTAACAATTTAAATGATACGCTTACCTGAAGAAGTGTGTTTTCAAAGATATTTTGAAGGAGTGGAGACTGGGTGAAAGTCTAACGTAGAAGGGAAGGGAGTTCCACAGAAAAGGTGCAACCCTGGAGAAGTCTTGGAGTCGAGCATCAGATGTGGGAGTACGGACAGAGGATAGACTATTAAGTCAGTATCGTCAGGTTTGTGAATGCAGATACTAGAGCCCAAAGACAGAATTAGATTATTAATATTTAAATACCAAAAAAAGACTAAAGAAATGTTATACAGTGTCAAAAATTAGATGAAACAAAAAGATGCAAGAATCAGAAATAAAATAGGACTTAAACAAAACACAGAGCTTGCACTAGTGCAAATATCACTGCAAACCTTACAGTAGGCCAAGTGGGAATTTCTTGTTTAAGTCCTGTCTATTGTTGTTCAGATAAATTCAAAGAGAAGTTCAGTTCGGCCTGGACTGGCATTGAGCTGTTCTTCCTTGGTCTCCCTTCCAAACTCCCCTGGGGTGTCCCAGTCTAATGGGGTAGGTTATACTGTCATAGTCGGGGGTGTTTATCTTACCTGGGTCTCCCATGCTGGTTTGCTGGCTTCAGCAGCTTGGGCTTGCAAGCGTGTGGTAACTGGATTGGCTTCAGCAGGTTCCGTGGTAGCATAGGCAGGGGTTAAGGGACCCAAATCATTCCCCAATAGTAATTCAGCTGACAATTAGCTCATAACCCCCACGATCACTGTGCCAGACCCAGACCCCCAATCCAGGTGGACTCTAGCAGTGGGGTGGCAAAAAAATAGCTCCCCCAGCTACTCGAACAGCTATGGTCTGTCCGGTATGTGCCTTATCTCTGACCAAGTGGCGCTGTATGAGGATCAGGGTAGCTCCAGTGTCACGTAATCCTTGTGCCTCTTGACCATCTACCAGCACAACTTGCCGGTGATGGTGGTGGTTGTCTTGGGTAGCTGCTTGTATCGGATTAGCCTCAGAGTACTCCCAGATATTCATGGTTAGCCTCAGTCTCCAAACAGTGGGTGGCCGGAGTATGGTTTAGGGGGCCCCAAGGAACCCCGGGAGGTGCCATGGGGCAAACGCTGCATACATGTCCCTTCTCCTTGCAGTAGTGACACTGAATCTTGATACGGTTTGGTTGGAACCTAGGGGGTCCCTGGTAACGAGTGGAGCCTGGAGGGATGGTAGCCTCTGGACAAGCTGAAGGGACGAAAGCCCGAAAATCTGGGCGAAGAGAAGGCCTCCCAGTGGACTGTTCCATCCACTTCATGTCCATATACTCATCGGCTAGGCGGGCAGACTCGGGCAAGGTAAGGGGTCGCTGGTCACAAATTCATTTTCTGAGTTCTGGCTGGAGAGAATTAAAAGAATGTTCCAGGAGAAATAACTGTAACACATCCTCTGCCGATACTGCTTGGCATCCAGTGACCCAGTGGGATGCCGTACAGTGGAGGCGGCATGCCCACTCAGTGTGTGAGTCCCCCCCCCCTCGATTCTTTGATTCCTGGAATCACCGGCGGTATGCCTCGGGGATAACGGCATACCGGGCGAGTAAGGCTTCCTTAATTGCTGGGTAGTGTGGTACATTCTCGTCTGGAAGGCTTCAGCAGCTCTACCCGATAATTTACCAGATAAAATGGTGACTCATTTATCTGGGGGTACCTTATGCAGTGCGCACTGCCTTTCGAAGTTTGCAAGGTATCCATCGATTTCTCTCTCTGCCTGTAGGAAGCTTTTAAATACAGTGAACGGTGTACAACGTTTTCCACAGTTGGGTTCATGGGTTGCTGTATCTATGCCAAGCATAGCTGGTATTGCCTTCGGTGTGAGGATTAGGTCCATACATTGTTAATCTCAACCGAACGGACGGCAGTATTTCGTCTTCTTCTGCATTTGGGATAATAGGTTCGGCCATTGTAGTAGTTCGGTCGATTTCCATGAGTTCCACAATTAATTCCCTGCGTGGTCGGTTGCTGGCTGTGCGGCCATGACTTTCCGATAAGTCTTTCAAAGTCAGCTGTTTAAATTTGTTATATTGGGTCTCCATTCATTCAGCATGTCCTCTGGGGAACCAAGGACCATCCAACTGCTGCCACTAAATGTTGCGGCCACCCCGTGAGAATAGGGGTTTCCGCCGCCAGAGATGTCCTTTCGCCCTAGTATGAGTAGTGCTGAAATGTTACCAAGCAAAAATCCAAGCAGGTAAAGAAGCATTATTTTCTGTACCTGAGAGATAATTGGATTAGAGTTTTTTCTCACGCAATTATCTCTCAGGCGCAGAGAATCCTGGGATTGAAATCGCTGTTTTATTGTGTTGGAGATCCCTTTGGTCTGAATAAACTAAGTTGACTCCCAAGACTATGTTTCATCTGGTTACTGGGGGAATGGATATCTGCTTGTGTTAATGGTTCCAGCGTGGCTGAAGGAAGGAATTAGCGAAGGTAACCAATTGGGTTACCCGTAGGCCACTACATCTGATGGTAGCAATGCAATGGTACTACCAAGATGAACGGAACTGAATGAACAGTCAAACGGATTAATGAATTACATCGCTTTAAAGAGAACAACACTCAAGGAGTTGCTGGAAGCCAGAGGACAAGTTGCCAGTAACCATTCCAAGGCTGACATAATCACAGCACTCATGGAAAGCGATCAACTCAACGGTGATCTCACTGTACCGGCGGCCAGTGAGACAGATTTCCATAAATAGATGCAGATTTGCCTGGCTTATTTCAGAGGGAACCCATCAGAGCAAATCATGGCCTGAACCATTTCAGAGGTACTGACGTATCTGATGGCGAAAGAAGACTGGGCGAACCAGCTGCAATTGAGCGAATGGTGGCCAGTAGAAGTGTCCCCAGCGAGTTCAGCAGTTACCGAACAGAAGCACAAAGTTCCTTACAATGCGCTCAAGGCTTTTACCAAATCTGCTGAGGACAATTTTTTACAGGACTTTGAGCGGCTTTGTATTTTACACGAATAGGTGGTAAGTTTGGCCACACCTTTTTCTATCCTTTTTCTATGTCTTCTACTAATACATGTTTCTCTTTAATATCTATTACACTCCCCCATCTCCCCTCTTCCCTATCTTACAGTCACTAGCTGCTCTATAATAAATTATGATTTTGCTCTACTCCTGTACGATGACATCAGTGAGAGGTGGTCATCTTGGTAGTCCCCTTAACATTTGTTTTTTTCCTTTTAATTGTATTGTAAGCATTAAGCACTAAGCATGTTATTATTTTATATGTTTTATTGTGTTTTTATTTAACTTTGATTTTTATCATCATTAGTTTTATGTTCACATGGCTATGACATCATGCAGCCATTTATTTTTTATTTTACTGCTATATAAACAGATGAGGTCCAGAGATCTGTAAACACTTTGAAAATGCCTATAACTTGGTGCAACACGTTAGTGTATTTTAATATTTGTATTTATAATAAAATATTGAATCTGTTTTAACACTATTCGGGACCCTCCTGGAAGTTTTTTAAGAACATTTTTATCAAGAGGAAAACTGTGGCTATATCCTTAATGGGGATTATACCACCTATGCGATTGGGATTGAGCAAAAAATTAAGATTTTGTTTGCTCTGCTTTTGTGAGTAACTCTTATTTTATTTATTTTTAAGTTTGATTATATACCAGTGCGCACTATTTGCTGTTCTATTTTATGCATACAAATCTACAACAGTGACCCACTGCTTTCAAGTTTGCAGATGCACACAATTTCTACTGTCATTAGATCCAGATACAACATCTGCCAAGGTCCTACAGGACCATTACATCCTTTGGTGGGTATTTTACTGCCCAGGTGCTCAATCACCTGGAACTGATCTATAGCTCCTGAACAGTACATGTGTTTTTTTATACTCCTTTCCCCAACTGTCTGAAGATACTACACTATATTTTTTTTTCTTGGTTCTTCTCTCTTCACATGTCCACTGACCATCTCCTGGATTCGAGACTATCTACAAGGCGCTGCTCCCTCATTTCCATACCGAACTGTACGTTCTACCAGAAAGAAGAGACTCTGGTTTGGTTTGTTTTATCTGCCTACTAATGCTCTCATTAGCTAGAAATCCTTTATTTGTAATATATTGAATCAGTAACTAAAAACAAATTGTAAATATACATTTGGCGAAAGATGAAAACGACAAAATGTGGAAAAAATTTCTAATTAAAAAGTAACTTTTATTATAATGATTATAAAATATATAGTTCATATACGCATAAGCTAATCACCACTTAATGCATATATACGGGTGACATAATATTTCAATTTACTATCGACTAGTTAAAGAGAACAAATTAAATATAGTTAATTTCTCTATCCACAAATATCAAAAACAGTATAACAAATATAAGTGACAAGTTTCCTAATTATTAAAATAAATGTTCCTATCCCTTGTCCATTTTTGTGTAACCCCAAACCAATCACAAAGGGTCTCTATTTAGCTAGAACATGGGTCTCTGTCTCTAATTGTATTACCCCTGAACATCACTTGGGTTCTCTGTTATACTGGTTTCATAGCTCATTTTTCTATTGTGTAATAGTCCAAAGGAATGTAATGTAACGATAGTATTGAAGTACACAAACCCACTCAAAAGGCTACATTTATGGATACAAAGTTATACTAAAACAATAAAACATTTCACTGATCTAAATCCCACAGAATAAATACACTGAAAGAAATTGTGTGCTGGAACGGCTAAGAAATATATATTTGTACATCTTGAAAAAGTCCCTGATATTCTGAATCGTCGATCTCAAACTGTATATTACTATGCACATAAGGAATTTTTAAATGTGTTTCAAACAATTAATAATCCGTCAACTTTCTCACTGTTAAACAAAGTGAACAAACATTGGAACATTTTGAGTCGTGATACTTCTTTACCTAAAGTTCTTAAAGAAATTGAAGATTATATTAGCTTTAGTGTACTAATAATCTTAATTTTAGTTATGACAGGAGGCGAATATTTGCATATCTTTCTTTACTGAAAACTCCAGCAGCATAGAAACAGTAACAACCAATCAGAGAAAAGATATGGTGCCCATATAAGGCCCTGTCTATGACATCACTTCCTCTTTCTTTGAAGCGCATGATAAACAACAACAACATAAACATAGTCCGTTAACCCCTTAAGGACACAGCTTCAGAAGCTTGTCTTACGCTTAATGACACAAGCAATTTTTGCATTTTCTTGCTGTATGCGTTCAACTGCAATTTGCATCTCTCTCGTTTATTGCACCGACACATATTATATACTGTTTTTTAAAGGACATAAAGGGCTTTAATTTGATGTAACATATATATATATAAATGCTTATTTATTATTTAAAAAATACAGAAAAATGCAAAAAAAAGAAATATTTTGTGTTTTTTGTACAGTTTTTGCAATAATAATGTGTGCCTAATTAGTGCAGGTTAAAGAAAGTAATTAAAAATAAATTTATTTAGTTGTTCTGATTTACAAAATATATAATGTGTCTGGGATTTAAAGTTTTTTTTGGTAGTTACAGGTCATAAAGCACAAGGAGTAAAATAAACTTTTAATGTAGAGCGATTTTAGAATTTTGTATGTTTGTCTTGTAAGCTTAATAGCCATAAAAGAAAACAAAATTGCCACACAAAAGTATATATTTATATAAAGTAGACATCACAGGCTATTGTCCTAAGGTTTTTTTGACACTTTCTAAGTAGCCATTTCACCGCCAATCTCTGCTAAATATTGGAGTAAAATTTAGTTTTTTGGAGTTTTTGGCACACAAACTTATAACAAAGAACTTCCCATGTATATTTTGTAAAGTTGGTGTGTGCTATTCCTGTACAAAGTTTTATTTTGTGTTCAGTTACTTCTGCTGAGTACAACGATACCCCCATTGTATGTCTTTGGCACTATTTCGTGAAGCTACAGTGCCATATAGGAGACCTGTCCGTTTCAACATTTACAGTAGAATTTTGAGAGGCGGATTTAATGGGCCTATGCTTCAATTTGGGGTATTATAGCAGTTTGACTGTTCAAAAAAAACCCACAAAGGCCTACCATTTATAAAAGTAGACACTCCAGGGTATCTCATATGGTGCATATTGTGCCTTAACATGCCCCCATTTTTTCACCAATATATGCCAAAGTATGTGGTAAAAAATAATTTTGGGCATTTTTTACATACGGATTACATTTTTGCTGGGTATTTTGTACATTTCATATGTGCCACTAAGTTCAAACCCCCCAAATTATGCTCAGCTAAGTCTTCTGAGTAAAACAATATGCCCAATGTATGACCTAGACACTATTTTGTGAAGTTACACTGCTATAAAAGAGACGTAACAAGTTAAGGTTTTTAAGTGTGAATTTTCATGGAGGGTTTTGATGCGTCCGTGCCCACTTTGGAGCACTTGAGCAGGCTACATATTACAACTACAACATAAAGGCATACCATTTCTTAAAGAACACATCCCAGGGTATTTCAAAAGGCATATTTTGAACCTTAGCGTGGGATAATTTTTCCGCTAGCTTGTACCAAGTGTAATGGTAATAAGCGTTTTTTTGCCTTTTTGACACACAAAGTAAATTTGCGCAGTACATTTTGTAAATCTTATGTGTGCTACGACTGTATAATACTTCATATGTTGCTCAGCTATGTCGGCTGAGTACATCAATACCCCCGTATGTACCTTTGCCAGGTATATGTGGACATCGGAGGGGCACATTTGGGACACAGCCATTCCAGTTCATTTCAAACTTTAAATTTTTACACTGTTCCCATGTCCCATTTTAGAGTATTTTACCAGGCTATATAATCCAAATACCCCATAAAGCCATACCATTTCTTAAAGAAGACATCCCGGGGTAATTCAAAAGGCATATTTTGAACCTTAGCGTGGGATAATTTTTCCGCTAGCTTGTACCAAGTGTAGTGGTAATAAGCATTTTTTCTGCCTTTTTGACACACAAAGTGAGTTTGCGCAGTATATTTTGCAAACCTTATGTGTACTACGACTGTATACTACTTCATATGTTGCTCAGCTATGTCG